GGTAGGGTATTTGCTAATCTAATCCGATATTAATGCCAAATTAAAACTAATTAATAAATATATCCTAGCAAGTGATGTATATGAGTTATATATGCAAGGATATGAGATTAAACTAAGGGCGATATAAACATGAGACAATATAAATGAGCATAATAGGCAATATAAGATGAACACAAGAATAAGTGTGCCAATGACAAACACAAACACATAATATGATCACGGAGTTCGGTCACCCTCGACCTACGTCTCCGCTCCTCACACTCGAGAAGAATCTCCACTATCACAACCGGTTTTCAACGATCACCGAAAACGTTCACAATCCACACCATCGATTTTCTAGCTCACCGAAAACTTTCACAACTCACACAATTGTAATCACACAATATACCCTAAAGTGTTGTCCTGGCCCGTGTCGACTTCCTCAAGTGCTTGGATTTACTACCTCTCCCTAAGCTTTACTACCTATTGGAGTTGGCTCAATTTCCAACTCATTTATTGTTGTAGTTTTTCTGCATGCAGATATAATTTTGCATGGTCTTTTCGGGCATGATACAGTCATTATTTGGCTTGGAAATCTACATGAAATTTGTAGAGGTGCATGTATAGTTTACTCCAAGCTTTAAATCACAAGAAACGAACCAGTATTGAGGGAGTTATGATCAATCAAAGTACCATACTCGAATCTGGACAGATTTGTGTATGTCCAAGCATTTTTTGGAAGATGAAAATGTTCATCAAGGCCTATAAATAGGCATCCTCTCATTGTGGAGAGATCATACAAAAAATCATCCAAGTTTTTCCACTTGTTCTCTTGAAAATATAGAGAGTTAGAGTGAAGGAAAGTCTCTTGTGTTGTAGAGATCTCTAGTGTTGAGTTAAGAAAGAAGGGTTAGAGTGAAGGAAAGTCTCTTGTGTTGTAGAGATCTCTAGTGTTGAGTTAAGAAAGAAGGAGGGTGTGTGAGGGCTGTGTGGAAGTCACTTGTGTTGTAGAGATCTCTAGTGTTGAGTTAAGAAAGAAGGAGGGTGTGTGAGGGCTGTGTGGAAGTCAGCGTTGTTGGGTGTGCCGTGTGTGCCTTGTACCCATTTGTCGATTCTATTATAGTGAAATATCCTCCGAGCTCCAAGCTCAACCTGTGGTTTTTCCCGTTTGGGTTTTCCACGTAAATTCTTGTGTCCATTATTTGTGTGATTGTCTTTTATCTTTTTTATCATTAAGAACAAGACCCTGAAGTGGTGTTAAGAAGTTTTATGATTCATCAACACCAACAAGTGGTATCAAAGCGTGGTTGTGGTGTTCTTAATGGCTGAACATAAGTCGATAATTGGCGGTGTGAAGGTTGAGCTGAAGCCATTTGATGGACGAAGCAATTTCACACTGTGGCAGCGCAAGATGAAGAATATCTTGATTCAGCAAGATCTACACATGTGCATTATGGGGGTTGAGCACAAGCCAGAGACGATATCCATGGAGGCTTGGAACAAGGCAAACCTCAAGGCGATGAGCTCGATTGATCTGCACTTATCCGACGAAGTCACCTACAATATGATGGTGGAGACTACCGCAAGGGGCACATGGGAAAAATTAGAGAATCTCTACATGGAAAAGACTCTCTCTAACAAGCTTTTCTTAAAATATGAATTATTTAATCTTCGTATGGAAGATGGAGATGATATTATAGAGCATCTTAATGTGTTTAACCGTTGTATAATGGATTTGTTGCGAGTGGAGGTCAAGTTTGAAGAAGAGGATAAAGCTTTGCTATTGCTACGATCCTTATCGTCGTCATTCAAACATTTCCGAACCATACTCATGTTTGGCAAGGAGACTCTTTGATTTGAAGAGGTTGTTCAAGACATCATCTCTCATGTCAAAATGAACAAGTGCACGGGAGCTAACTTGAAAAATGAAGGCCTCAAATTCATCACAATTCAAGGAAGGTCACTCTACAAATCGTCCTCCAATGTTCGATGGTTTGAACTACAACTATTGGAAGTGGCGAATGAAGATTTACCTTCAATCAATTGGCTACAAACTTTGGAACATCGTGGAAACGAAATATGAGAAGCCAACCACTCCTTTCGCGGAATGGACTACATCTTAAAGGAACAATGCAAATTTGGATTCTAAAGCAATGAATGCCTTATTTTGTGCAGTTGACAAGAATGAGTTCAATAGGGTGTCAACGGCCATATCCGCATATGATATTTGGTACACACTCGAGGTAACTCATGAAGGTACAAATAAAGTTAAAGAATCTAAAATTTCTGTTCTTGTGCACAGATTTGAATTATTCAAGATGAAGGAAAATGAGACTATTGGAGAAATGTTCACAAGATTCACCGACATTCTCTCACTGGTCTTGGAAAAGTATATACTCAAGTGGAGATGGTAAGAAAGATACTTCGTTCACTTACTCCACAATGGGAAAAGAAAGTTACCGCAATTGAAGAAGCCAATGATTTGTCAACTCTTACGGTTGAAAATCTTATTGGTAATCTTATGGCATATGAAGTACAAATTGAAGATAGAAAGAATGATGAAGAATCTAAGAACAAGAAAGTTCTTGCATTTAATACTACTTCAGATAAAGAAGATTCAGATGATAATGATGAAGAAATGGGCATGTTTGCACGAAAATTTCGAAAATTCATCAAAAGAGGTAATTTTAAATTTAAGAATTCAAATTCAACTAACCCTCTTTGTTTTAAGTGTAATAAACCAGGGCATATGAAGAAAGATTGTCCAATGTTGAAGAATAAACAAAAATCAAGTTATTTCAACAACTTCAACAATATTCAAAATAACAAGAAGAGGAAAGCAATGGCGGTCACTTGGGATGATAGTGATGAATCATCCTCAGATGAAGAAATTGAAGAAAAGGAAAGTGCTCACATGTGTTTCATGGCACAAGATGATGTAAGTGAAAATGAAGAGCTTTTAGATGCTTTTAATGAATTATATGAAACTTTTATAAGATTAAAAATTTCACATAATTTTCTTAAAGGTGAGAATAAAAGGTTACGTGAAGAAATTTCAGATTTAAATTCCTCTACTTATACTAATTCTCAATTAGTTGAATTAAAAGAAGAAAATTTTTCTTTACTAAAAGAAAATGATAATTTATCTAATGAAAATAAATATTTAAAATCAGAATGTAATAAGTTAAATATTCGAATTAATAGTTTAGATAAAGATATTTCTTCTTTTAAATCAAGATATGAAGATATATGTTTAAATGTAAGCAAATTTAATAAAGGAAAAGAAAATCTTAATAATATTCTTTCTTTTCAAAGAGAATCACAAAAGACAAAAGGATTAGGTTTTCAAATTAATAAAAACAAATCAAAGAATACAATTTTTGTAGGATTTTGGATAGTGGTTGCTCCAAACATATGACTGGAAACATACAATTATTGTCATCTTTTCAAAACAAGGATGGAGGTACCGTTACTTTTGGAGATAACAACAAAGGAAAAGTCATCGGTATTGGATCCGTCGGTAATCCAAACAAACCTATCATTGATAATGTTTTATTAGTTGGTGGTCTTAAACATAATTTACTAAGTATTAGTCAACTTTGTGATAAAGGTTTTAAAATTGTTTTTGAAAAAGAATCATGCTTAATTTATGATACTGATTTAATAACCATTGTTTTTAAAGGTTATAGAAAGAATAACATATATGTGTTATCTATGAATAATATTTCAAATGAACATTGTCTTATTGCATCATCTAATGATTCTATTTTATGGCATAAACTATTGCATCATCTAATGATTCTATTTTATGGCATAAACGTTTTGGACATGTTAACTTTAAACATATTTCAAAGATTTCTAAAAATGATTCAGTAAATGG